GTGGGAAAAAAAACGCGCCTGATTTAAATGTCACACCTGAACGCTCACATCCTTTTAATTATGTTTGAAATTATGAACATTGCTCAACATCATGAAAATTAAACCTTATTTTCAATAAGCAATCCTGAAAAATATTTGGGGGTGCTTAACTTTTTTCCAGGTGTATAGCAATTTATAGTTAGTAGTTAAATAAATGCTGATATGTATCCAATTTATGATATTTGCCAACAAGATTGATACACACAGTTTTCTTTATTTTATACAAATATGTTTTAATATATAAACAACAATACAATTTACAATAACAGATATTACAAACAGCTACTACAAACAATGATTTATATACAAAAGTTTCACAAACTTGCAACCAATATAAAGTCTTCTTTCTAGTCTGAAACTTCCTTGATGTCACATCGAGGGTTCATGATGAGCAAGTTAATTTCGAGTTGATGTAGGTACAATTCACTTAACAGGGAGCTCTAGCTCTGTGGTCTTCACTGATCACATGCCGAATTTTTCTACCGATGACGTTAGGTAATGTTTTTGTAAAAGTAATAATGTCCGACGTCAATCCACTAAAGTTAAATGGTTTGTAATGTTTGAAATTTATAAATGTTCTTTGTCAAATAGCTGAAATGTCCCAAATAATATGCGTTATAACAATCACAGTTATAGCTTCTGAAGTTTATAGCACACCAACTATAGCAAACCAATAATATATACTGTTTTTTGGTGCATTGCATTGGTTATATTTATAGACGTGAGGAGAGTTTCTCAAAACTTCAGTTTGTGTAACAATACTGATGCTAACACTAGCGTACACACATATATTGTTGATTCTCACATTTGAGAATTTTCTACAACTTTAGAAAATAGGTGGGAGTTTCGCAGTACAGATTTAACACTATAAGTTATATACATTTCTAAATGTATATTTAATTTAAACAAACACCGATATTACAATAAATATGTAATAGTAAATCTGTCACACCAATTACATCAGTAATATAAACAAACACACAAGGAAACACATTAAATTAATCCATTACATTTCTGTGACTTATAAATAACGCACTACCATTAAACGTCAATACAAATTCCAACAGCCGCCTTAAAATCAACAATTAAATCTAAACTTTAAATACGCTTTATCATGAGAAAAAAAAAATTATATCTTATGATAGCAATGCAAAAAGTTGGTAATGAAAATGTTCATACTAGAGTTTGTGTGATTGAACTTGATTGTTATTTTGATTAAAGGTTTAAGCCCGAAATTTTTGTGATGACCAAAATGTTTTTGTTTTATAACTGAATGCTATTTTGTAAAAGGCTGATTTTGGATATAGATAATAACCCAATAGTTAAATGAAAGTGTGAGCTCCTTTGGTTAAAAAAATATAATATCAGACTTATATTTGTAGGTTTTGAAGATGTTGCAGAAGGAGGAAATGGGTAAGTAACTTAAAAGTATTAGTAAATGAAGGTCATGACTGCAGCTGCTTTAGTTGTTTAACTTTTGTTCTAGAGCTTTCTTATATTTTTGTTGCCACCCCTATAACTTCTTTTGTAATGGTATCTGTTGTATTTTAGTTGACAATAATTTCAACTTTATCTCTGGTACTTTTTAGAATGATTGTTTCAATACTAAATTTTCCTCATTGAGAAAAATTTTACTAATTCTCTAAAGATGTATTTGTAATTGCAAACCACAATATACACTTGTAGATCATCACCACACTTATTTGTCTTAATAGTTAAATGTTCAGTACATTAAAGTATGTACTATTATATATACATATATGCATGTATATGTGTACACTATATCATAGATGGCCAATTAGTGACCTTCTGGCTGATCCAGCCCATGAAGGTATTTTATCTGGCCCACTTTTTTATATTTTTAATCATATTTTAGTTTGGCCAAACTTGCAAAACAAAACTCTGACCAAACAAACTAGCCCAATAACGATTCTGAAAACTTTCTTCAAATATTAACTCAGCTATATATTCAAAACTATATAATTAACTAAGGATCTATAGTAGACAGTAGGAATTCAAATTTAAATTAAGTAAATTCTGAATGTACTTTACTAAGTCACACAGTTTTGTCCTCAGATTGCAGTCTAGTTTCACTTAATCCTCTGTATATAGACTCTGTCATTTTGTCTGACTCTGTAATCACCATGTAACTGTGAAACTATGCCTACGCTTAACTTTTTCGAGTCAGGTCATGGGTGAAAGGCCATGTCATCTCGTTTGTTGAACTACTATTTCATGAATTTATGTCAATAACTTTGGTATCTAACTGTAGATTATAATTATAATTTTAGTACTACATATTACTCAATTTCTTAATTTAAAAGCAAATATTAAAAAACACAGTTAAACATCAATTTTTGTGTGTCACGTGGTATGTTGAATGCAACACTTGTTCAAATTATATGTTTATGAAGTCAAAATACTAAGTCTATAATTTCATACAAATTAGAAAC